GCACAATTTTCTTCTTGAACAAAAACTGAGGGCGCTTTTTGACTTTTTAAAAACTAAAGAATTTGATTAAACAACTTTTTTTTCAAAATTCTTACAAGTGTTGAGCAATGATCGTTAATCAGAAGAAGTTTATATTTTCAGATTATATTCGAGCAAACAATTCTCATTTATGATAACTTCTGGAAATGAACGCCTATAAAAGTTCAAACAAAAAAGAAAAAGTTCATCAACAGTGGCAAATAAAGCAGAGAATTTGAAACGAGATCAATGTAAAAAAAGCTGAGAAGAACACAAGAGTAACCGTACTAATGAGAGAACCGTTTCAACTGACAAATCTTTTCTGAGTTCAGAGACTGTACATAGGATAGACTCCAGTGAGATATGAAAAAATCTGCAAAAAGTTAAACATCCCAAAGTCTTTTAACTTATGACATAGTATGTACCAACCAATTGAATAACGGCATTTTCACCTAAGATTTTGTGCAGACATAGATCTACTTGTGACAAGAGTCTCCTGAAAATTTTAGCTCAAAAGAAAACATAAAATTCTGGCATCTTTCGTGAAATATGAATAAGTTTTGAGACCTATATGTGGGCGAAATTGCAGGTCAAAATATCATCATCCGATTTGTTGGGTGTGAGTGTGTGTCTTCTTTTACCCTACACAGACACCCATACCACACTCTTAGCGAACGCACGCTCACACAAATCGTCTTTTATCCACAGAAAAATAGAAATTCACAGTTTGACTATTCTGTCAACCAGTAAAAAAAACCTTGTAAGAGACAATAGTGATATTTCAAATATTATTATATTTTTTCAAACATTGATGCAAATAATGTCTTATTTTATTGACGAGTCTGATTCAATCTTATTGGAATTATGTCTTTTGACAAGACACCAAAAATCATTGGAAAATATGTAATTTCTTTGCAATATTGTTGCATGTCAATCTAGTTCATAATCATCGCAAACGAATTGTTTTGATACTTAAACAAATTTTTATTTGGGTGTGGGTGTGGGGTTAGCCTTGCTCTGAATCGCACCCACACACCCACATCCACACCCATCCACACCCACACCCATCCACACCCTCACCCACACCCATCCACACCCTCACCCACACCCATCCACACCCACACCCATCAATATCAAATAATACTGATACATTTATTGAATTATTGAATCAGAAAGACATCTTATTATTTATTCGTCAACTTACACAACTCGTCAATGAATTAAACTATTCTCAATTACAAAATGAACAATGGTCTTACTATCATAATCTAGGCATCACCGAAGGTATCTGGATCGGACGGGTATCGAAAAAAATGGCTGAAGCTAATTCAGTGTGTTACACATATGGGCAATCAAAACTTTTAATCAAACAATGTCTTCTGAAATATCAACTACAATGTCAAAAAGCCCAATATGCTATTCATGAACATATGAAAGAAATACCTGCCAATATTGACATGACAACTACTACAAATATGATAAATAATTTGATCCATAAAGATCAATATCAATTACGCGTTGAACTTGACAGACGACAAACCTTGCTCCAACTAGGTGCTGAAGAACATCAACTTGTTGACAAATTTTACAAATTAAACCCAAGGCAAACAGAGGTGAGCATTCGAAATCTTAACAGATCTATGCAACATAAATGAATGTTTAGATAAATTCAGCAAAAATTATATGGAAAGCCATACAAGCGAAACAAGCAATCCTACACGAAATTGCCATATTTCAAAAACGGATTCCACCTCACATGCCAACATCCTCATGTACACTCAAAGGTATACAACTACCAAATATAAACCAAATACTCACCTCATTAGTGTTATATGAAAATACATCATCTACCGAACAAATGGCTAAACAAACATTAACCAGAGCCAAAGAAATGGCAAAGCATTATGAAAACACAGCAGTAACAGAGAAAACTAAACTATAATCAACAAGAACCAATCATAAAAATGTTCAACTACTTGACCAAATCATCACGGTTATTCTTACACGTAAAAACAACATGCAACTACGAGGCGAATGCGAATTACAACGAAAACTTAAAATCATATTCAATGAAACTCAAGTCGAACCATTAGCACCAAACTAACAACACATATAAACTAGAACAATATAAACTTCATTACATAAACCCATAGAAACCCATATCCCATATGTTTTGAAATAAATCTCACGAAAACTGAAAAAACAATTCCCACTAATAACCTTTCATTAAATATTAATCCTGTCTCCTTTCATTTCAGATTATTATTCACTATGCGTAAGACACAAAGGAAAATCAATACATCAAAGATAAAGCAATAATTCAACCATCATACCAATTCCAACAAAACGAAACAGAAATCATCCAACATCGAAATAATCTACTAGGCTATCCTGGTAGCTTTATCACACCCAATTACTTAGGGTTTTCTACTAGGATTTCAACCTTGTAGAATTTAGATGTCATACTTTGATTCGAATTGTATATTTGCATCTTATATAGTTGATGTCTCTGCCACTTGATAAGATTTTGAGACAGTAACATCGAAATAACTTAAAGTTATCGTGGTAGCTTTATCACACCCACACCCACACCCACACCCACACCCACACCCACACCCACACCTACACCCACACCCACACCCACACCTACATCCGCACCCACACCCTGTTATGGGATCTTTCAAAACTCTAAGTTCGAAAAAAAAATCATAGATTTCCATCTCAGCTCATCTATTTCTCGAAAGTAAAAGTGAAGATCTCTGTATATGTTATGCGTAGCTTTTCGATTTTAACGACTTATAGCAATAAGAAAACAGAAGTGGGTATTTGCTTTTCTTATCTTACTCACTATTATCTTATATGATTACACATCAACAAGTCAAATATTGCATAAGAAACAAGAGCCGCCAGTATAGAATGTATGATGCAATGCCGGATTTTACTACGAGTTCCACCCTTGAAAAGGCTTTTTCCAATTCAAAATGACGTTGTTCCACCGAACACACGACGCGTGTCATTTTTCTGTAACATCATATATTGTACTATTGTGTACCCAAAAAGTGAATACACTATAGAATCGGTCAGTGTGTCCGTCCGGCCGCCCTGCCGTCTACACGATAACTTTCGAAAAGAGAGTCAGATCGTGATGAAATTTTCTACACAGTCCAGTCTCATCAATGTCTCGGTCGAGTTCGAAGATGAGAAGGATCCGGCAAGAAATGGCTGAGTTATCGAAAAAATTGTCATTATTGAGAAGACCATCCCTGAGGGAAGATACAGGGATTTTTTCAAAAAAAAAACTTTTCTCAGAATTCTTCACAACATATATCAATCGACTCAGTTTTTAACGGTGATTCCGAATCTGATATTAATTTTGAACCAAATCGTAGCTTTCTAACAAAACATCGCCTGCAAAAGGTCTAAAAACTACCAAAAACTGCATCCAGAAAGCAAATTGCCTAGATATGTCTCAGATGATAAAAAACAAAGTGAATATATCTGTTCACTTTTTGAAGTACACATAAAACTCGGATTTAAATCCGAGGTTTTCGCATTTATTTTTTGATAAAAATGCTTCATGCACAAGTTTTGCACAGTGAGGTTTTGCCAATTATTCTACCAATATTTTCTTATCACTTCGCTTTACATCAAAGTGGTGTGCAAAATAAGCTTGACAGAGAAGTGTGGGTGTGGGTTGGGGTGTGGGTGTGTGCCGATGTGGGCTGGGGTGTGGGCGTGTGTGGATGTGGGCTCGGGTGTGGATGTGGGCTGAGGTGTGAATGTGTGCGGATGTGGACTGGGGTGTGGGTGTGTGAGTGCGGGAGTGTTTGTGTAGATGTGGATGTGGGTATGGATGTGGGTGGATGAGTGCGGGTGTGGGTGTTTATATTACAATTTTCCACACCTACACACACTCACACCCACACTCACCCACGCACACCCTTATAATTACCCACATCCACAACCAGATCCACACACCCACATCGACACCCTTACAATCATCCGCACCCAGACCCTCGAATTGGAGAAGTTTGTTCTCGAACTGTGCAATGACTTTCCTTTTATGGAACATCAATAGTGAATGGTCATAGACGAAGAAAATTGGGGTGGGAAGTTACCGTTACATTACCAAGAAACTGGTAATGGGCCCGTTACCAGTTACTTGGTAACGGTAACGGTCTGGTAACTGTCTCGTCTTCCTATTCCCACAACCCTGATACATGTAGGGGTATCCTAGCGTGTTCTATTGGGTCATGAACTTCTATTATAGGAGCTACCCTTGGGTATGCGTGTGGCGTGTAGGCGTGGGTGTGGGGAGTGGGTGTCATATGATGGGAAATTTGAATTTGTGGCAAAATCAGATTCCTTAAAATCATCTGTATTTGTAACAAAATAAAATTATACCGCTAGGGTGTGGGTGTGGGTGTGGGTGGGTGTGGGGGTGTGGATGTGGGTGTGGGCGTGGGTGTGGATGTGGGTGTGGATGTGGGTGTGGATGTGGGTGTGGGTGTGAATGAACATGACACATCCCAACCGACGCCCACCCACCCCCCACACCCACACCCACACCCACACCCTAAATTCATGTACCCTGTTCTATTGCTTTCACGAATTCTATTGTGCACACGATTCATTAACTGATTCAACTTGATTTCATCCAACTCTCAAATATTTCGGTGCCTGGGACATTATCTTAACAGCAGACCGCAGACCGCCACATTATCTGTCCCACTAAAACAACATAAAACACCTCATTCACAGGACAACCGAAACCAAGGCTAGGAAACTAATCGACCGGTTCTCATAAACGACACCCATAAAAAACTATCTAATCGACGAGAAACACATTGATTTCCATGATACATTAAACACATTATGAGTAACACATTGTCAAATGTGCCATAGAAATGCATATATGTGCCAAAACAATGGTCATTTGTGCCACATAAATGGTCGTTTGTGCCATACAAACGGTCATTTGTGCCATAAGAATGGTCATTTGTGCCATGGAAATGGCCACTTGTGTCATAGAAATGGTCATTTGTGCCATAACAATGGTCGTTTGTGCCAAGCGTTTATTACAGACAGACAAACACACGGACAAACAGACACAGGTGAATTACGGTTTCTAGACCCTATCCTTTCAGTCGAGGAAAAAGTCATTTTTGTTTGCTTATGATAAGAGAAGAAAGGCGATGCATCGTGTTCGTACTTATAAAAGAAAAAATCTAAACGTAATGCACGTTTTTTTCTCGATGTTGTCTATTGCGAAACATCGAGATTGTTCTGTACAGAAAAATAAACTTTCTCATAGTTGGTAATGTAGGTTTTTATTTAGTGAGCATTTTAAAATGGTGATTTCTTTTATGGACATGGCCAGCCGCTGGTATATCCGGACCCTTTTTGTACACGTAGCTTCTATAATATATCAGAAAAATATAATTTTTTTGTACCAGTTATAGTACTTTTATAATGCTGGTGATCTATCAAGGACTAGGGATCTATATCAGTTTGAAAGCAAAATAATCAAGTGTCTTCAAAAACGTTTTGGCATTTACGACCAGCTGTTTTTAAGACACTTGATTACTTTGGTTTCAAACAAGATATAGACTACTTGTCCTTGACAGATCACCAGCATTCTATAAGTACTATAACTGGTAAAAGACATATTTTTCTGATATCTTATACAAGCTACATATACAAAAACAGAGTTGGAGTAACCCACTAACAGGTCATGCACATATGTACATGATTGACAATTTATTTGAAAATAGAGGTAAGTGGATTTAAAAATCGAAATTCTTAGTCTAAATGTCTCATGTCGCGTATCCAATACGCAATATCTCGATGATTGGTCGCTCGTACTTTCGAGAATTGGCATGTAGTTATTGAGGTCCGCTGAAACCTCTTGAAGTAATGTGATAGCATCCATATAAAGTAAGTGAGCAAGTCCGTTTTTCTGACGCGTATGAGTTTGTTGAATGGAATGTAGAATTTGAACCAAATGATTAATGTGAGTATTCATATTTTGAGAGGAGAAAATAAATGAAGAACGTCTTTGTTTAATCCTTTCCTACCGGATGTGGCCATTTATCAACACTGGGTCAATATATCCTTCAAATTTCACATGTAAGAAGGATATATAATTTTTTTGTTGACAATTCGATAATTTTCTTTACATATTTCAGCGCAAATTCGTGCATTCTCACGGAAAAGAAAACCTGTTATTAAGGAGAAAGATAGGTCCTCCCTTAATGAACCAAAATAGGATCCGAATCGAAATAATTGATTTCCCGTGTGTCTGAAAATTTTATCTTGGAAGCGATTAGCGGTTAATTTTCCTTCCTAGACCTATTGTCTATTGCATCACTAAAATAAATTATTCAGTAAATCCGAACAATAGAAAAGACGGATGTTACTAAATGGCAACATCCAGCCACCAGTGGACAAAAATTTTGAAAAAGTCAATTTTTTTTTCGTCTACCAAAGGCCGATATTTTGTAGTTTTTTAACATTTATACCTTCATACTCAAGCAGTTTGCCTTTCTATCCGTCTTTTACAGGTCGAAGCTGAAATATTTCTAGAATGTTCTAAAACTTTGCGAAATAATGCAAAATTAGTCATTTTTTTCCAGAGTTCTATAATTCAGGAAAATTCTAGAAAGTTTTAGAGCATTCTGGGGTATTCCCACATGAACTATTGCAGATACTCTGACACTTTCTAAAATTTTCCTGAATTATAGAACTCTGGAAAAAATGGCTAATTTTGCATTATTACGCAAAGTTTTAGACTATTCCAGAAATATTTCAGCTTCGACCTACAAAAGACGGACAGATAGGCAAACTATGCTTTAGTATGAAGGGATGAATTTTTAAAAACCGCAAAAAAATTGGACTTTAGGAAACGAAAACAAAATTAACCTTTTTACAAAACTTTTGTCT